AGATCCATAAGGATTTTCATTATAGGATCCTTCATAATCGTCAGGCTTAGATCTTAAATGTTTATTATAGGATACTCCTTCGTTATCATCAGGTTTATTGGGCTTATAAGGATCTTTATTATAGTATTCTCCTTTATTATCGTCAGGTTCATTGGATCTATAACTATAAGGATTTTTATTATAGTATCCTCTTTCACTATCGTCAAGTTCATGGGATTTATAAAGAGTTTTATTATAGTATTCTCCTTTATTATTGTCAGATTCATGGAATATGTGAGGATTTGTATTATAGTATCTTCCTTCACTATCGTTAGGTTCATGGGATCTATAAGGATTGTTATAGTATCCTGCTTTATTATCTTCAGGTTCATGGGGTCTATAAGGATCTTTATTATAGTATCCTCCTTCAAGAGATAAATTTTTATTATGGTATCCTCCTTTATCTTCAGGTTCATGGGGCCTATAAGGATCTTTATTATAGTATCCTCCTTCAAGAGATAAATTTTTATTATGGTATCCTCCTTTATTATCTTCAGGTTCATGGGGCCTATAAGGATCTTTATTATAGTATCCTCCTTCAAAAGATAAATGTTTATTATGGTATTCTCCTTCATTATTGCCAGGTTCATGAGGCCTATAAGGATCTTTATTATAGTATCCTCCTTCAAGAGATAAATGTTTATTATGGTATTCTCCTTCATTATTGCCAGGTTCATGGGGTCTATAAGGATTTTTATTATAATATCCTCCTTTATTATCTACAGGTTCATGAGATCTGCAAAGATTTTCTTTATAGTATCCTCCGTTAACATCAGGTTCATGGGATCTATAGTGATTTTTATCATAATATCCTCCTTCATTATCATCAGGTTTAGGTGATCTTAAATTTTTATTATGGTATTCGCCTTCATCATCATCAGATTCATGGGATTTATAATGATTTTTATCATAATATCCTCCTTCATTATCGTCAGATTTAAGAGATCTTAAATTTTTATCATGGTATTCTCCTTCATTATTGTTAGGCTCAAGAGGTCTATGAAAGTTTTTATTAGAGTAGCTTCCTTCATTATTGTTAGATTCAAGGGATCTACGGAAATCTTTATCAGAGTATCCTCTTTCATTATCTTTAGGCTCAAGAGATCTACGGAAATCTTTATCAGAGTATCCTATAATAAACATTTAAGATCTAAGCCTGACGATTATGAAGGATCCTATAATGAAAATCCTTATGGATCT